GGCTGTCACCCAGAAAGGAGAGACCATAATGGAGGAAGGTAGAGCAGGTCTGGTCCTGACATGTTTCTGAGGTGTCTGCAGGTTCTGGCTCACTTTGTTTGGGTCCAGGTCACTTCGCTGGTTCAGAACCCTCGGCCCGTCAGAACATTCTTATCCACCACGTTCTAACACCAGACCTGTTAACCCGACAGCAACAAGTGGCTCCAACTGACGATGAGACCGGGAAGGAGCTGGTTCTGGCTCTGTACGACTACCAGGAGAAGAGTCCTGGAGAGGTCACCATGAAGAAGGGCGACATCCTCACGCTGCTCAACAGCACCAACAAGGTTCGTGTGCCCTTCACAGCCGAGGAACGACCTCCAGCTCAGAGCGAACATCTCCACACCTGCTTTGTGTTTGTGTGACTTTAGGTTGTTTTACTTGAACTCGCGTCTTTAGCTGAATGAGGATGGAGAGACGGGTCGGACCTGGAGCAGGTCGAGGTCTTGCAGAAGAAGTTTGACGACTTCCAGAAGGTCGGACTTTTCCTCCTCTCTGTCTTCCAGCAGCAGCTGTCAGATCAGCTCAGGTGATAATCAGCAGGTGCTTTTGTCCTGCAGGACCTGAAGGCCAACGAGTCCCGCCTGAGGGACATCAACAAGGTGGCATCTGAACTGGAGTCAGAAGGTCTGATGGCTGAGGAGGCTCCTATGGTTCAGGCTCAGGTGAGCGTCACCTGTCTGCAGCAGCTGGTCCCTCTCACTTCCTGGTTTGTTAACTCTGCTCGTCTCTGTTTGTAGCAACAAGAACATCTGGGTTCTGCTCCTGGAAAGGTGCGTGTTGTCCTCCGCCTCCACCAGAACCAGACGTGGTGTTTTTGTTACCACTCATTTGTTTGTTTACAGGATGAAGCCGACTCTAACCCCGGCTTTCCACAGGAGTCGTCAGCAGCACGTTACTGCAGCAGCACGTCATAGCTGCTGATAGGAACCGCTGTGGTCAACAGAACCTTTTCCACCGGAGCCGTCAGCAGCGCGAGTCGGCCGCGTCTCAGGAGCAGCATGTCGCGGCCTTTACGCGCCGGTTCTATTTTCTACGCGCGACGCCTCTGAAACGGGTCAAGTTCGACATTTTTGGGGAAGGAAAGACAGGAAATCGGACGCGGAAATTGAGAGAAGCTACCGAGATTTTCAGAATAAAGAACGTACTGCCTTCCGGTTGCTTTACTTTTAAAAAAGGTTACTAACTGAGCGGCCCCGTGAGAAGTTATCACCTAGCTAGCGGTCTCCTTTGTTTTTCAGGTCCGTATTGGCGATTATAAAACGGACAGAACATAAAACACAAACCATGTTGTAGTTTTCTCCTGCTTGTTGTTGTGTTTACTGACGAAGTCACTCGAGTGACTTCGTGCTCGGTCGGTGACAGCTGCTCCCCTGCTGCTTCGCGTCTCGTGGGAAGGGCCAAGCAGCAGCTTACGCGAGCAAGACGTGCTGCTACAGTAACGTGCTGCTGACGGCTCCCGTGGAAACCCGGGGTAACACGGCGTCACCCTAGAAGGTGAGTTCATTCAGCTGATCAGAGGTCACCTCTGATGGCCGCAGTCACGGCCGACCGTGCTGACATCACATAGGAATTCAGGTGACCCGGCAGGCACCAGGTGCTGGTGAAAGTGGGGACATGTCAGCTGGTTGCCATGGCTACAGTTATCTTTATGCATCTGTATGACTGCTGACTGGTGTGTGTTTCCTGTGACCTTTGACCTCAGACCGTACGGTTGGGCGTTCAGACGACGGCTAACTTTAATTCCATCAAGGTAAGAGGAAGCTCTTCCCTTCCTGTCTGAGCGATCCGTCTCCAGGTTTCCTCGTCCGGCGTCCAGCCCGCTGGCGTCCACCTTCATCTCACTGGGTTTGGTTTCTCTCCAGGAGCTGAACAACCGCTGGCGCTCGCTGCAACATGCTGGGCAGCGCCCATGAGGTGCAGCGCTTCCACAGGTACCCCACACACTTATGCGCCGCTTACGGGTCAGAAGAGTTTGGACCCACACTCAGACGGAGTTCTGATGTCTTCTCAGAGACGCCGATGAGACCAAAGAGTGGATCGAGGAGAAGAACCAGGCCCTGAACACAGACAACTACGGCCACCACCTGGCCAGCGTTCAGGCTCTGCAGCGTGAACATGAAGGCTTTGAGCGTGACCTGGCAGCTCTGGGTGATAAGGTCCGCATTCCTGATCGGTACCAGGACCCGAGTTGTCTCTGGAGACACGTTCTTCATGGTTCTGGTGACTCCACCCCAGCCGTTCCTGATCAGCGATCAGCGGGGTGCTTTCCTATTTAAGGTGGATGGAGGACACAATTTGACGCCAGAAGATTGCCTCAGTTTTGGTAGTAACCAGCCACTCGTGTTACCTCTAGTGTTCCTAGGATTAATGTTATTTCGTAGTGTTTTTGCTCTTATATTGGATTTACCATTCTTCAGGATTCCTGTCGACCTCATTGGATACTGACCTCTACTCCAGGATTTGGATATTCAACACACGGACCTTATCACCACCCTCCATAACCCACCTCTCATCTCACCCAGTGCCCCATCCACCAGGACGCCCCGCTTCTCTCCACCTCTGCTCCCTCTCCTGCGCTTCCCCCGGCTCTCTACCTCTCTCTCCTCCAGCCAACACGTACACCCACCACAGTAAGTCTGCTGAACACCTCTGCCTGCCTACAATGGATTTTGAAACCAGAACCTAAGCTCACCTGTGTTCTCCCTCCTCCAGATGCTGAGCTGTTGTTGCAGTTCCAACCACAGACTTATCTGTGCACCTTAAGTTCCTCCTTATAAATAAATCATTTTTTTCCATCAGTTTTTGGTCAGTGTTGTATTCTGCATGTCTTGGGTTAAGTACCTTCCTCCAAACATGACACTCCTCCTCAAAGAGCAAATCTGTTCAGCACATTCTGACAGACAGACCACCATTCTTCTGTCATGATGCTGTACAGGACATTTTTAGAGTTTTCCTTTTTAAAGATAAATAGGATTACATTTAAATAGCAATACTTTCACATTATCATTTTCCCACACTTCTGTATAACTGTATTTTGTTGTTTTTCAATAAAGAATGACAAACTATTTAAGTTTGGTTTTTGTTGCACACAAATATATATCTGTAAAAAATATCTACAAAGCTAATGTTTACATAACAAGTATGATTGGGTTTTGCAATACGGCACTCAAGTTTATTTTAGTAAGATTTTTAAACCAAGTAAAGTTAGTTAAGAACACATTTCTATTGGCTGCTAAGAAACTGTTGGGATTTAAAATGGGCCTGTTGTACAAATAACTTGTAAATGATTATTCCTCACTTTTGTCTTAACCAAAGAAATTCCAGTAATTGAGCAAAAACATTTATTTTTAACACTACATTTTATAAAACAGGGCGCAAAGTATCGGCACATGTATGTATGTCGATGGTCCACCCCAACCGAACCAGGAGACACAGACGTCAGGGAGGCCAAGGTTGTCTCTGCAGCTCTCAAGGCACCACGCCTCACTCAGCTGTCTCCAATGATCCAAATGGCTATGGAGAAAAAAATAACAGGTTTGTCATAATTGTTTAAAGTACAAAACCATACATGAAGTGGTGAGACAGGTATGTGGAACTTACACTTGCTTTGTGTAGCTGATGTTGGAGACACACAGGCTGCCATGGTGACATTTAAACAGATCTAACAAAAAAATAAAAATGAAAATTAAAAACTCCCAGACCTCATGTCATATTTACTAATCAGCTATGGCTGATTTATTGTTTGGATCACAGTGAGTTACACTAATTCTAATATGTTTTTATTTCTATTATACATACATACTTTTTAACTGTTATTTTCACGACTGTTATCAGGCTCTCTTGTTCTGGTTCTGATGATAATTCCGTGTCTTCCAGTAAGTTATCTTGTGCTTACTTCATCTGTAGAATGTCTCTTTACTTTTGGTAAATTGTACTGAGTCCAGAATAAAGACTAGTTGGCTGTACAAGATACAAACAAGTATCACATTTTGGAAATATATGAAATGTATTTAGGCTGCTAATTTAGCTCGAATACTAATAACTGCCATATTTTCCGGACTATAACTCGCACTTTTTTACATATTCTGGCTGGTCCTGCTACTTATACTCCAGAGCAACTTACATAACAAAATATGTAGGCTACACCGCGCTGCTGCGGGCCGACTCCGACCCACACAAGAATGAGTTCCCCTGTCCCGCTGGGAGGGTTTCAAACACCGCCAGCATCTGTTAGAGCCTGTGGCGGGGTGCTGAGGGCCGGCTCCAGCCCAGGAATGAGCTGTCCTCGCCGGCCGGGAGGGTTTGAAACACCGCCATCCTCTCCTCTGCTGGCTGTTGTTCATTCTGTTATGGTTACCGGTGCTTGTGTTGCTATGTGAAACGCTTGGTCTCAGATTTTGTAAGAAAGATAATAAAATGTCCCCCCAAAATACGACTTAAATATATTTTCTCTTATTCATGATACATTTAATGGCTGGTGCGACTCAGGAGTGATAGCGCCGAAAAAAACTGTACTGAAAACTTGCTCAAAGCAAAATGTTTTCATTACGGAAATAAATTATAAACTTACCGATTTAAAACTTTTTTAATACTGGTACTTCTCACGAACAGGCGCAGAAAACCTCCACCTAAACTCCGTGTAAGGTTCAGGTCGATGGGTGTTCCAGTTAGCTCCGGTTGGGTTGAAGCTAGGTGGCTACATCCGTTAGCTCGGCTCCCACCTCCGCTTTAGCTTTGGGTTAGCCAGGGTTAGCTTCAGGTTAGCTCGTAGCTAGTTCGCCTGGGTGTCGTCACTCGAGCCCAGCCTTACAGCCACACCCTCAGCGCCTCCTCTCTTCCCTTTTATGGAATTGTCTGGGCTGGACGGAACCTGTGACACGGTCAAAATGGCGGTGGTGGACACCTCCCATTATGGACAGATAACGTGTTATTGAAGCCTATGGAATCGAATTGTCCAGTATATGTACAGTCTATGGTCCACACGTAGCCGGAGATATTTTTCTACGTTTTGGCCTGCCATCCACACGAAAACGGAGGTTTTTCACATGAAAACAGATCTTTTTAAAAACTCCGGCCAAAGTGAATATCTGCGTTTTCTCCGTTTTGGGTGTCTGTGTGTGGACAGACAAAACCGGAGTTTTAAGCTCCGCAACGTCACTTTCCGTGACAAAAAAATGCTGACATCACGTGTGCGACCTGTGTTTACACTAGCCGACAGCATAGATGCCCTCAGAGCTGCGCTCGCTTTATCAATTGTCCAAGCACTTTTTGCTTGTTTGTTTTTGCAAGCGGAATTACTGCTCCTTGTGGAAGACCACAGACGAAGGACGAGGTTAAGAACGGGGGAAGTACTGCCGCCTACAGGTCTGGTATGTCCTTAACAACGTATTTATCCGGGTATGTGTGGACAGAGTTTTTTTTTTTAAACGAGGTGGTGTGGATGCAAGTTTTTGGAGGGGCAGATAATCGTTTTTTTAAAAAAAAACCTGGCTACGTGTGGACTAGGCCTCAGAAACATCATGAATAAACAGCATTCAGTGGTGGAACGTCTGGTGATTGGAACTATTGAGCTGACTCGCTTTACTTCATTATTTTCATTGATGTCAGTGGGAGTGTGTCATGAGCCAGGGTGAGTACTCCTCCTTATTCCACCTCTGAGCTGTGTGTTGCAGGAGAGGGAGGTTCCAAGCTGCATCTCGTTGGCAATCAGTGGGCCCGGCTACTTAAGGAGGATGGAGAACACACCTTGACGCCGGATGATTACTACTGCTTGGTAGTGCTCTTGAGTTTCTTGGACTATTGTGAACGTTGGATTTCTGTGATTACCTGTCTCCAGGTTTTTGAACGTCTCTGATTCAGCGACTCCTCTGGATTACTCACCCATGCTTCATAGGACTTCTGGACACAGCTCTCAACCGTTCTCCATTCCTCCTAACTGACTGGCTCTCCTGACCTCCTCACGCTCCCTCTCCTGGACCCCTCACTTTATACCCTGGCTCTCAACCTGCCCTCCCTCATTCTGATTCTTCCCCATCTCCAGGTAAGTCTTTTCTCTGCACCCACCAAGTTAAGACTTACCTCCCTGGACTCACCTGTATCTGCTCTCCCCTCCTCAGATGCTGTGCTCCCGTTTCTCGATCCCCACTGGACTTACCAGTGCACCTTCAGTTCCCGTTTATAAATTTTATTTTTTTTTACCATCAATCTGTGAGCTGTTGTTTTTCTGCATGTCTTGGGTTAGATGTATTCCCCAGATCATGACAGTGTCTGAACTCTGTTATGAACGGTACTGATTCTGTGCTACTAATGGTAATATTAAAAATTAATTTGAAATTTCTGGATTTTACACATGAGAATTTTCATATTCCTAAATGTAAATGGTAAAAAAAAAAAAAAAAAAAAACTCTGTTCAAGGACTACAAAAGGACAAAATCTTTAAAATTAGAACACATTCCTTCTCTACTTAAAGTTCTCCCTGTTATGTGCTTTCCCCATCTAGTGGCATGCTGGGGTAATTCAGCATTGGATTAATTTTCATGATCAAAGAAAATGGACATCTGTTAAACACCCATGAATAGAACCTAAAAATGTACTATTTCCCAAGATTTCTAAATGTAATTGTCCCTCACCTCAAGAGGTTTTTTTTTATTTTTCAAAGCAAAAATAATCATATTTTCCTGTTTGAATTTCTAGGAAAAATAAAATCAAATTTTTGAATTTGGTGTTTGGCTCTACAACCTGGGACTGGACTTTTGAGTGTGTTATCTGAAGCCATCGCATTTATATTATAACTCAGTTTAAACTAAGATGAAATTGTTTATGTCTATGAAATGTATTAACAAAAACTTCTTTCTATCTTGGTGCATTTGAATATCAACCAAATGCAATGCATTTTATTTTCTCCTGATAAAAGCAAACAGCGTATTATATTATCTGATTTGAGGCAAATGGATTTTGGTTGACAACAAATGGTGCTTACATATTTGACATGAATACTTCTCTGGGTTTTATGTTTTCATAGAGCTTAGCAGAAAAGTACCCTAACACAATTGAGTCCTTTAAACACATGTGAAGGAAAGTGAGCAAGCATAAAGGAAAATGACAGATCAGAAAGGTCATGACAGAGCAAAATAAATAAAAATAAAGCATGAAAATCTGTAAGGAAAAAAGAGCACCAAAAACTTTTTATTCTGCCACAAAACTAAGGCTCAGACTTGAATAAAACTGGATTCAAAGTAATTAGCTCAAGAGGACATTTCAGGAGTGTTTTTATTGTAATCACAAAGCCACACCATTAAAATTCCAAACAAATTAAAAGAAGCTTTAGTTCCACTTCACCAAAGCATTGTACCATTGTAATTTGCTCTAGCTGATGGTATTTTCAGAAATCCATGAGCCTTGATTTGGCTGAAAGTTTTCTATTTAATGTTGATGGTTTTATAATAAAACTTCAGCCTTTCCAGAAGAGAGAGAGAAGAATCGTAATTTCTTGTAGAGTTAAAGTTCTAACCCAATCTGCAGTACCTCAAAAAGAACAAAGCAAGAAGGGAGTGTTGGTGAAAGTGTCCCTCAGAGCACGTCACTTGAATCAGGAGATGGTGCTTAGAACCAAATGGTGTGAGTTGATCAGACTGGCAGAGGCGCCTGAGAGCAGGGTCACGTTAGGAAACCGAAGGTGAGATCACGCCCTGATTTGGTCGGTTTCACAAAAGAAAAGAAAACAGAAGTTGGCTTTCATTTTTAGAGCTACAGAAATAAAGGCTCCTGAAAACAGAGCAAGGCATTATTTCATTGTGTTTGTTGAAGAAGCTGAAACAGGAGCTCAGTAACAAGTGAGCTTGTTACTAAAGATTCACGGACAGCCCCTCAGTATTGTCTTGTATGAAAGTGACACACAACGGGAAAAGATTTTGTCCAGTTGGTCCTCACACCAAACAGGGAACCGCTCATCAGAAAGGTTCATTTACAGTTTTTCTCAATTGTTTACACACATTTCCTGAAAGCATGCCTCATATTCTCAGAACTCTACACACAAATCCGAAAATGCACAATGGGCAAAACCCCTCACTTAACCTGCAAAATTAAACTTCCCATTCAAAACAATGTTATTTCTCCTCAAAATGTGATTTTGTTGTCAAATGACACACACAAACCATCATATGAATAGACATTTACAAGAACCAGCAGACACTTATGTGCTCAATCTAAAACACTATGATGAATGGAAAGCACATCTTCTCCATTCATCATAATGACTAAAGCCTTTTTGGTTCAGTGTTACACCTACTACAGACAGCATATACATGCATGTGTTATTTCAGAATATTGTTTTTACACTCTGAACACACAAATACATGGTAGAAATTATTTTATTTTTACCACAAAACACTGTACACAATGTTTATCCCATTCCCAACCAACACAAAGTTGCACACATAAACTACATACAACTGAAGAATTTACTGTATACAGTTACAGTAAAAAAGAAAACTATGCTGCATCCTCACTTCTGTTGCGGTCTGGCCACAGCGCCTCATCCACATCACAAGCAATGTTGTCCCTGGCCAAGCAGCGGGGGAAATATCTCCTAGCATGGCGATTCCAGCCATGAAAAGAATCATGCTATATCTCCGCATGCGTCCTCCATAGCTTGGAGAAGAGGTATACGGGTTTGTGGCTGTCGGTCATACACCTTCCATCTCCATGCAGAAAAAAATTCCTCAATGGGATTGAGGAATGGAGAATATGGAAGGAGATAAACAGCTAAAATGCGTGGGTGGCCAGTGAACCAGTTATGAACCACAGCAACCCTGTGGAAACTTACGTTGTCCCGAATGACAACGTACCTGGGCTGTTCTGGACCATATACCTGATCTGGTGGAATGAGTATGTTGTGTAGGGCGTCCAGGAATGTGATCAGATGGGCGGAGTTGTAGGGGCCAAGGGTAGCATGGTGATGGATGATGCCATGGTAGCCAAGCGCTGCACACATTGTGATGTTCCCTCCGCGCTGGCCAGGGACTTCAACAATGGCACGCTGGCCAATGATATTCCTTCCCCTCTTTCGTCTTTTTGTGAGGCTGAATCCAACCTCATCAATGAAGATGAACTGGTGCTCCACTGCAGCTGCCTCTACAATATCAGAAATAAATATGGAGTGGTCACTATTGTGAAGCACAAATCATTATGCTGAGGATTTCAGTTTCCTGTTCAGGAGACATAAGACACTCCCAACCTCCTCGTGTTGGTAATCTTTCAGCTCTGCCAAACAAATAGTAAAATAATGTGAATACAAAGTAGGTATACATTTCCTAAATACTGGAAACATACTTTACAGGATTTTTACTGTCCAACTAAACCATCCACAGGCAATATTACTACTGTACTTATTGAGTACTGATTGCATTGATATACTGCCATTTTCTAGTGAGAGAAGATTTCTTACCTATTCTCATTTCGGAAAGTCCGGATGATGGATGCTACAGTGTACCTGCTCAAATTTGGCTGTACTCTTTGCCCAGCCTCCCTCATTGTAAGACCATGGTTGACCACATGATCAACCAAAGTGGCTCGGATCTCATCAGAGGTTACGGTCCTTCGTCTTCCTCGTCCTCGTTCTCCTCCTCTTACTCTTACTCTGACTCCTCTGGCTCTGCCTCCGTTTCCAATGTTGGCATCCATTGCTCCAACACAGAAGAACTCGCCTGTTGCCCTTTTATGCTAAAGCTCTGATGGCTGACTGTAAAACTGTGTGATGGGTGTTTGCCCTTGTGATGAGTCAGTGTGCATATTTGTATAGCAGTGTGTTCCTTGTGAAAACAAGATATTGTCCGCATGAAAATTGTGCCAACAGCAGAGAATTGTGTGTAGTGTTTTGAGAAAAGTGTGTTTTAGATTTGCAATTTGAGTGAAAAGCAGGAATTGTGCTTGTAGTTTAGCAGAATTGGTTAAGGGGGTTGGTGAATTGGTTACATGTTGTGGTAATTGTGTCTCAAGTACCAGAAAATGTGTGTAAACAATTGAGAAAAACTGTAAACACCTGGGATGAATGATTAAGGTACATCATGAACAGAGATGTGTGTCCAAGAGACTGTAATAACTTAGTCCCATAAAAAAGCACACATTTTCCATTCGTGTACTTTTTTTAGACTGTGCAGGTTTCTACACATGAACCTGAAACCTTGTCTTCAAAAGTGAAAAATATTATTTATCAAAAAGATTTTTACAGTCTTTTTGTGCTGTACATTTTTTCAGTTTTATGATGAGAAAAGTTTTGGCAGTTGAACAAAAATCTAAAAGATTACAGAGAAAAAGAAAAAAAATATGTATTATTTATCACTGCAGTCCTATTGCCTTTCTGTGGCGGTGCAGGAGTTTCTGGATGTTTTTTTCTGGGAATTTTCTGGTCTTGAGGAAAGTAAAAAGATAAACTTTTGCTCTTGGAGGCTCTGTGCTTGCTGTGAGTTTGAATCTTTGAACTTTAATTGAAATATTTCATGTACAGTGGGATGTGAAAATTTGGGCAGCAAAGTTAATCTTCATTCAGTTAAATATATCATGTAGGAGACACACAGAGTGATATTTGAGATTGTAGCGGAATATAGTTGGTATATTCTTACACTTTATTAAGGTCCAGAGATTAATCTTACCTTAGAATCAGAAGAGGTTGTTTTTACCACAGGGAATTTTATTCAAACACTTTGTATTGTTCGCGGCCGAATGTGAAGCGGCTGGGATGAGGATCAGCACCTCCAAATCTGAGACCATGGTTCTCGACCGGAAAAGGGTGGCTTGCCACCTCCGGGTCGGGGGAGAGGTCCTACCTCAAGTGGAGGAGTTTAAGTATCTCGGGGTCTTGTTCACGAGTGAGGGTAGGAGGGATCGGGAGATCGACAGGCGGATTGGTTCGGCGTCTGCAGTGATGCGGACGCTGAGCCGATCTGTCGTGGGGAAGAGGGAGCTGAGCCAGAAAGCCAGGCTCTCGATTTACCGGTCGATCTACGTCCCAATCCTCACCTATGGTCATGAGCTTTGGGTAATGACCGAAAGAACGAGATCGCGGATACAAGCGGCCGAAATGAGTTTCCTCCGTAGGGTGGCCGGGTTCAGCCTTAGAGATAGGGTGAGGAGCTCGGACATTCGGGAGGGACTCGGAGTAGAACCGCTGCTCCTCCGGATCGAAAGGAGCCAGTTGAGGTGGTTTGGGCATCTGGTCAGGATGCCTCCTGGACGCCTCCCCGGGGAGGTGTTTCGGGCATGTCCTGCCGGCAGAAGGCCCCCGGGTCGACCCAGGACACGTTGGAGAGGTTACATCTCCAATCTGGTCCGGGAACGCCTTGGGGTCCTGCCGGAGGAGCTGGTGGAGAAGGCCGGGGAGAGGACGGCCTGGAGCTCCCTAGTTGGGATGCTGCCCCCGCGACCCGGACCCGGATAAGCGGAGGAAGACGAGACGAGACGAGGACGAGAGACTTTGTATTGACTTAGAGACAAGAAAAGAGAAATATGGGACGTTTAAGAATATTTATTTTTATAATTATTCGAAACAATCATCCAGGACTAACTCTATAATGATGGATGCAAATGGATTTGGATGCTGAAGTGTTGGTGTGTGTGTGTCAGTTCAGAATCTCCATCTGATGCGGGGCGAGTCTGAGTGTAAGATGTTGTTTTGACTAACTAACCACGAGGGACTTCAGGAGGAAGAGACATGAAACGCC